GAAATGTAGTGATCAGATCTCACAGCTTTTAGAACATAATAATTCTTAAATTATTTATCCTCATTTTGTACCATAGAGATGTTGCTTTTATTTTCATTGCCTCTATACATTTTTAGTGAAGAAATTTTATTAGTTTGCTTTTCTGCTGCCTCTATTCCTCATGTCAATTCTATCCTTAAGTAAAATATTCCACTTTTTACAAAATCAGTTATTGTCATATTCCATAAATATCATCAAGCTATTTGATTTCATCACCATCTCCCTATTGTTTTTATCAAACTTACTTCCTCCTTCATTATAACCCAGAAGATGTTTTTCCTTTATTAACTTTTTATTTTGTTTTTTTCTTTTAATCATTTGTGTATGAATAGTATGCACTTTATTAAAAGAACATTCTAGCTTTTATTTTTTTTTTACTTTTTACATATTTTGACCTGGTGTTTTTGCCTAAGCTTCTTTCAATTCTTGCCTCAGAAATTTTATAATGATGCCTCATTATAAAGCAATTCATATGCTCTTGAATGATATGTATACAGAACAAAAATTATGACAACTCCTACTAAGCCAAAAAAAATGCTTCAATTACAGCCCAAATAGGGGTATTATACTTCTTGTCATTCAAGGAACAAACTAGCCTCACTCAGAAGGGAACATGACCAGGCTGGTCACAGGGTGATCAAGTTGTTGGAAAAAGGAACTCTCTAAAAATATAAACTAAGATGAAAAAGAGCTATGATCTGTGTTAGTGAAGGTATTACACATATTGCTAACCATTGCAGACTTGTAAATATTTATTTGTCCTTTTAATTTGAAATCCATCAATAGATCCAGAATCATTCAAGGACAAGGTCTTCCTAATGGAGCAAGAATGAGGAATAGCAGGTGATCAGGCTGAATGCTAAACTTTCTCCCCACAAGATGTTAAAGGAAAGCCTGTAGGGTGTTGGATATATCTTTTTTAGAGAACCAATGGGAGAACGTGGGAAAGAATCCCAAAAGATAAGAAGTCAAAGAGGAATCATAATCTACACTGATGGAGGGATTACTCACATCTATGAGATTTGAATTATAGAAATATTTTCTTTGGGATTGGTACTTTAGTATACTTAGTTGGTTTTTTTATTATTTTAAGCATTTCTAATAGTTTTACTTCTTTTTGACATTTATCTTAACAGTGTCAAGGGAAAGATATGAAGGGATACTAGTCTCTTGCAAACTTTCTCTCTATATCTTCATAGGAATTCCTTCCTACAGGAGACATTTCCAAGAAAGAAATTCTAGATTTACTTTATTAGTTTCCTAATTGCTCTCATTTCCTTCCCATCCCCTTCTTAATTCATTTTATAAATCACTAACAGATTAACCTTCCTAAAAAACAACTTTTATCATGTTATTCTTGTATTCAAAGGCCTTTGAGGCTTTTACCTGTCATTGTCTTGAAGAACCTCTCCCCTGAATTCTACATCTGACCCTTAGAATTATTTTATGGAATCTGAGGGATTGTTGCCATAGCACCTGCAATGGAGAGACTATCCCCATTCCCAAGTGCTATCTTGTTTAGTAAGCACTATAGCTATAATATATGGAGAAGAGTCTTTAGAGTTTAAAGTGTAGAGCAGTTGAAGTACTATGAAGAGGGAAAAAGTAACAGATGATTAGTTTTTATGGTGAAATGATAACTACAATATACACTAAAGTTCACGATTTAAGTGAATAAAAAAAGGTTTTGCTTCTCTTTTTCTCTTTCTTCTCTTCCACTCTATCTACACCACTCCCATTTTCTTGGCCACTTCTATTTTGTGTGTCTTTATAGTCTTTCCTATCTCCTAATGTTTTCCCCAGCTATCTGTCTCTTTCTTCTCCTTTTCCCTTCATTTGTTTCTATTGCTTCTCCTTTTTCTGCTTCTCTTTTTGTCTCCTGAGTGCAGATACTTAGAAATTTGTGAGATTTGTTACCATGGACAAATCATTTAACCGCTGTCTTCCTCAGTTTCCTCAACTGTAAAATGGGGGCAATGTTAGCAAATACCTTCCAGCATTGTTGTGAGGACCAAATGGGACAGTATGAAGTGCCTAGAACAAAGTAGGCACTTCATAAATATTTCCTTCCTTCCTTCTTTCCTTTCTTCTTTCCTTCCTTTACCTTCCACCTTTCCCTCCTCTTTCTTCTATTTTCCTATTTTTTTCTCTTCATTCAAAGTATTCTCACACCAATCATCCTATTCAAGTATTAATCATTACGAACATACATATCCAAACTTCTCTGGCACTTAAAGCCCACAAGTATCTGATCCCACCTTACCTTTCTGGCCATCTTGCTTACTGCTCTGCAAAATGCAAACATTCTGCTCTAGCCAAGCTGGTCTCCTCAATATCCAATGTATATATTCCTACTGCCATGCTTCTCTTTATGCTTTTCTGTTCCCTTCCCCATTAAAAATGCCCCTCTTCCCTTGCTCCTAATCAAATCCAATCCACTATTCGTATCTTAGCCCACATCTCAACTTCCCCCATGAAATCTTTTTTATGACTACTCTAGTCCGTACTGATTTGTACATTGACAGAACTTGTCAATATCCCAGCATTAATTACTATTTAGTTTCATATCTGCTCATCTTCCCAATTAGGTTGTAAGGTCCAAGGAGGAGAGACTATGACATATAATAATAATTATAATAACTTTCTAATTTGAATAGAGAACCTACAGGTCTAGTTACTTGCCCACTGTCACACAATCAGTATGTATCAGATGTAGGTCTTAGACTCAGGTCTTACTAGCTTTAAGGACAAATGCATCCGCAATCCCATGATGCATCTCTATAATATAGCTTGTGTACTTATAGTGATCTAAGCTTTACAGAGTGATTTTCCAACAATAAACATGCTTGCTAATAAAAAGAATGTTCCTATTTTCTAGTTTAGGAACCAAAGGATTGTAAAGGTTAAGTAATTTATCCCAATTTACACAGCTAAAAAGTTTTAAAGCCACAACTCAAACTAAGATTGAATTCCAATTTCTGTACTTTTTCTACTATTCCGTACTGCCTTTACATTTTTATCTTACAACCTCCCCTAGCTATTTGTATTGATATATGCACTATTGCCATTTTAAAAATTTTCCCAGAGCTCCTACTTTGCCTGTATCTTTAGCTCAGATGTCTACAGATAATTATTAGATAAGACTCTTTAGCCTTTAGCCAGAAGTCCCAAAAGATGAAACCTTACCACAGATTATACCTCTTCCCTCTTACGCCACACAAAGACACGACAGTGATTCTTCCGCATTTCACTGGTTTAAAGTGACCTCCTTAGACACATGGATGCTTTAAATGGGAAATATGGGAATATAGGAAAGATTAATTTACTTACTCATTGCAGTTCCTAACCTCAGACAAATAGGGAGCCTGAAAGTAGCCTCAAACTCTTTTCATCACTAGATGCACAGACACCATGGCCTCTTGTATCCTTTCCAACTGAGTGATTCTACAAAGTCAGTAAATATTTGTTGTGGAGTAGGTACTGAATCTTGGATTTCATTGCTATAGGGAACTCCTAGGTGAAGAAACTCCTCTATCAATGCAGATTGCCACCTTCTCTGTCTCTGCAACTTGTAATCTTAGAAAGTTCACAGGTCAAGTAACTTGTTCATGCTTACACAGTCAGTGTGTGTCAGAGCTAGGTCTTGGACTCAGGCCTTCCTACCTTTGAGGCCAACTATATCCACAATATCGTAGTGCCTCTCTAAATATTTATTATCTTATAATCCATGCATGAGTTGATGAGCATCTGATTGTGTCATGAACCCCCCTTAGTATTCTGATTAATCTTGTAGAACCCTTAAAATAATGTTTTTAAATGCATAAAATAAAATGCATAAGATTTCAAAGGAACTAATCATATTGAAATGCATTTATATATGTGTATATATATATATATATATATATATAATGTATATATAAAATTATAGACCCCAGCTTAAGAACTACCTGGTCTAACATAATATGGTAGGAAAAGGAATAAATATGAAAAAGATGAATGTCACTATGAAGATGGGCTATAATAGACCAATTCAGTAAACAATTGTGGTCTGAATGGTCTTCCCAGGTGTTTTGCAATTGAATGTTTCAACCTTGTCTAAAGTAATTATGGCTACCATATGATACTTTCAGATTTGCAAAGCATTTTACAAACATTATGTCATTTAAACATCAAAACTGCCCTATGATATAGAAAACATAGGTATTAGTATCTCCCTTTTAAAGATTAGGTAAACTAGATCTTTGACAAGTTGAATGATTTCTTCATAGTCACATAGTGAAAATTAAAGACTGGATTTTAACAAAGATCTTTCTGGGTCTAAGTTGAGGAGGCTATGAAGTTACTTATTAAGAATCTTCAAGGAGCAGCTAGGTGGCACAGTGGAAAGAGCACCAGCCCTGGAGTCTAGAGGACCTGAGTTCAAATCTGGCCTCAGACACATAACACTTAAAGCTGTGTTACCTGGGTCAAGTCACTTAACCGCAATTGCCTCATAAAAAAATGGAAAAAAAAATCTTCAATTATATTAAGAATTGTAATTATGAGAGTGACATTTTCACTAAGGATGGAAAACATGTTCTGAATGGTACCAGCATAGACTTAGATGAGACATAATAAATATTTCCTGGCAGATGTGAATTGCTTAGGAATATTGATCAATTTATTTACCTGGATACTATTAAAGGATAACATAGACAATCCTTTTTATTTTTAATCTTAACAATAAGAGAGGGGTGGCCCAAGTGACTTCTGAAATTCCCTTTAGACTCTGTGAATCTATGGTTAAAGGAAGTATGGAGATACAAAGTTGCCATTATTCTTATCGGCGAAAAATGTGTAATTTACTCAGGTTTTTAATTACAATACTGCATGTTTTGGAATCTCCTTGTTACTCTTTGCATTATTGATTTTTTTAACTTGAAAAATCATTATTAATAAAAAATCTGATTCATTATTCACAGATTTTGGCTGACCTTGAAAACCATGCTTTATTTAAAGATGACCTAGAATGTCAAAAACTGATTTTGGAAGCCATGAAGTACCATCTGTTGCCTGAAAGAAGAACTTTAATGCAAAGTCCAAGAACTAAACCAAGGAAATCTACTGTTGGAGCCCTGTATGCTGTAGGAGGAATGGACAACAACAAAGGTATACAATTCCAAGGCTCCAAACTGGTCATATGTTGTGTCCTTTTAAGAAGTTATTTGCAATGTGATAACTTCTAAAATCTCAACCAACCATAAATAAAATATTCCAGAGATATTTTCTCATTGTTCGGGGGTAAAAAATGTTGCAAAAACTACACTTTCCCTCTTGCTCTTCATCCTTTCCTGCTATTTTCACACACACACACACACACACACACACACACACACACACACTCCTACCCATTTTACCAATAAATAAGAAATTACTATAAATTTGTGTTGTTTGTAGCTTTTTAAAATATCTTACTTTAATTTAATTAAGGAAAGAATATGAAACACAACATTTGTAACAAAAAAGGAGAAAATGCACATATGCTTGTGTAGGTTGATTTTTGAATGTTATTTATAGCATTGCCAAAGCTTAGGCTAAATCTAAAATGATAGAAACGCTACAATCTATTGAAATTCAACAGGTGAGGTAGTCCCACCTTTGAAAATATTAAAAGTATGAAAAAGCAATTTCACCAAACTGCTATCCTATTGCAAGGCCTTCCTTCCCCACCCCCACCCCCAAGGTATGATAGAAGGACATGCTACACAGTAAGAAATGTTTTTTATCTCCCTTGACGCCTGCTTTACCTTCAAACATGCTTAGGCTTTGCCATGTCTCTCCTTTCATTGTCAAACTTTTTGCAACGGAGATTGGGATAAATAATCATCCTTTGACAGGAGGCTTTCCTAGATGGGGAAACTCCGTCTATTAAAGCAGGTCAGCTTCTCTGCAATTTAGAGATCTGGAGAATTGCTTGGTATGCTTAATGGTTAAGTAACTTGCCCAGTGTGTTAGAAAGTATGTGTCAAAGATAAAACTTAAATCTAGGTCTTTCTGAATTCAAGGTTCAAATTTCAAATTCAAAATTCAAATTTATCTATCTCCTATGTCTTGCTTTCAATTAAAGTAGCATGTACTTATTATTTCTACTTCATCACCTTCTACTTACACCCTGGTGATTTGGTTTTTTCTCAACCGAAACATCCCTGTCACAAGTTTCCAATGGTGTTGTAATGTTCAATTATAATTGTCTTCCTCCCCCATTCTCTTTCTCTTTTATCTCTCTTTAACATTTTACAGTGTTGACTATGCCCTTATTCTTGAAACTGTTCTCCTTTGGCTTTCCCAACATTCTATTAACCTGATTCTCTTTCATCCTCTCTGACTACTCCTTCTATGAGTTTTATTTTTCTGTCTCTTCATCCTCCTTTAGCCCCTACATATAACTATTCCCCCAAGAATACTGCCTCCTTTCTTTTTAATCCTTCTCCCTTATCATTCTCATCCACTTCCATATCTTTAAAAAAAATGACTATTCTCTGCTCTAGTTATTTTTCTTTCCTTAGTATAACTATTGAGGAATTCCCAAGGATAAATTGTTTATATTTTTTCTTAATTACTTTTAATTTGATTTAGAAAGGAACAGCAACCAAAAAAAAAACAAAAAAACAAAAAACCCTCACAATATTTAAAAGAAAAAGAAGAAAAGTTGTTTATATGCTACTGTACCCCAAATCCCTATAGCCAGCCCCAAATCTTCTCCTGAACTACTTTCTAAATACCTACTGGAAACTTATGTCTATATGTTCCATTGGTCTCTCAAATAACATTTCCAATACCAAACTTCTCAAACTGCTTCTCCTCCTATGTTCCTTGTCTCTCTTAAAAGTATTCACATTTTCCCAGTCACTGTTTTTAAATCATTCACACCTCTCTTCCTCCCCTTTGATATCCAATTAGTTATGCTGATTTTATCTCTGATGTATCTCTTGGATTTGCCCCTTTTCTTTTCATTCTTACTGTCAGAACACAGCTTACCCAACTGAGTTGGGCTTCGTACCTTCAGCCTTCTCCCAGTATAAAATATTGCCATGGTAATCCTCCCAAAATTTGCCTTGGATGGCATTACTCTTGTGCTCAAAAACCTTTGATTGTACCTTATTGCTTATAGAATAAAGTCTAAGCTATTTCACATGGTATTTAAATTTCACTGGTCTCTAGCTTTAATCTATTTTTCAGCTGTATCAACTACTATTGTCCTTGATATGCTTTCTGCTGTAGCCCAAGGGTTGTATGGAGTAGCTCTTTAAGCACAATCACCTTTTAAATAAAATACATAAATACATCTGAGTACTGACTTATCTCTATTAGTGAGGTGCCAATCTCATGTAAAATCATAACAGCTATTTTTAAAATTTTATTCAAGTTCAGCAACATTTTTATATTTACATATATATGTATAATGTGTGTATGTATATATGTATGTATGTGTTTATACACACACACACTCATACACATATTCATTACTTCATTTGCTTCTAAAATAGTCCAATGAAGTAGGTACTATAAGTATTATTCTTTTTTTCCATTTACAGGAAGAACATGAACTTTAGAGTGATTAGTGACTTATGGTTGTCTGGCTAGTAGAGTCAGGATTTGAAAGTCTTTTTTTCAATTTAGGCTCAGGTGTCTTTCCATTATATCACATTGCAGTTTAGAGGTGAAGAGAACTCAGATATAGATCCCTTATATTCTCTTATCCCACCCATTTCCCAAAGCAGAGTCCCCACTGTATTGAGCCTTCTCTCCTCATTCATTACCTCTATTTGATAAATCTCCTCATCCCATCAGGACTTGTTACTGGCATGTTTTCCATTCTTTTTTTTTAACCTCTTGGCCAATGCTTCCATTATTCAATATTAGAATTTTGCTGCCTTCAAAGATAACAGCCAATGTAAACTCACTGTCCTAATATGTTAATAGACAAAGGGAATAGAAGATTCTCCAGGTTCACTTTTCAGAAGGCCTTAAGTGCATTATAACCAAGAATTTCTAGAGTGTATAATGATTTGTAGTTGGCATTTCTATTGTATTGTACTGACTTATATGAATTTAAATAAAATAATCACAATGTATAAACAAATACAGATTAGATGAGTTTGATGGAAATTATCTTTGGTTTCAATTTAAGATCTATAGAAAGATACACACATGCATGTATGCATTTGCCTATGTGCATATAAGGCACAAAACAAATTAGATTAGGTCACAGGTAACAAGTGCATAAATACAAATTGTATTTGAATCCAATAAGTTTTATTTTATAAACATTACCAAGTTAAATATCTCCATTTTTTAAATCCATTTCTCACATGACATGGTTTTGAATCCTATAACTCTGTTCCACTCCTCTGGGAGCCCCTCTGCTAAACATTGGTGCCCAAAGTTGACTATAACCATAGGTATAATCTGATCAAGGAAGAACACAAGAAAAGTATTATGACTTCCTTGTTCTAAGTATTACACATATGGGGAGGAAAACAGAAATGGTTTGAGTTGTTCGGAATATGGTATAAAAGTTAACGGAATTGTTGTTCCCAGTTTTACATAATAAAGGCAAGGAAATGAGTCTGGAGATGAAGGGTAATGATTTTGCACTTTTAACTTAGCTTTTGATCTTTCTTCATTTAATTTATATGCCAATCAAAGAGGGCCTTGACAGTGAACAGAACTTCAGAGACCAAGCCTACACACTGCTTCTGTAGCTTTTGTTTTATTTTGTTTTGCAGAATTTCAGAAATAAACTTTTTTAAGGGCACAGGATCGTCATTAAGGTTTAAACTGGATTTACAAGGAGTTTTTTTGTTTTTTTTGTTTGTTTGTTTGTTTGTTTTTAGGGTGATTGGTCTGAGGCCTGACTTCAGAGCCTGTGCTCTATCCACTGTGCCACCTAGCTGCCCCTACGAGGAATTTTCTAACCCAAAATCATATAATTGGGACAAGATAGACCAAGGCAGTCAAAAGAATAGACTTAATCTTACTTTAAAAGGATTTATCTGACTTTTGTCTATTTTTGCCCTCTGTTTCAGTTACTCTATGCTGTCAGCCTTCCCTTGTCAAAAACATGCTTTCTAGTAAATGTGCCTTGGTATCTGGAATCTGAGATTTCCTCAAAGCCAATGCACAGAATGTGGCAGCAAAGAGATTGTTTTTCATCCACGTTTTTGATAAAAATATCGAATAGGATGAAAACGAAGAAACAGTCCTAGAGCCTGACACTGAAGGGTTTCTTCCAGATTGATCTTTCTTCATTAATAAAATAAAGTAACACATAGCCAGCAGAGAAATGGCCAGCAGAGAAATGTACAGCATAGATAATATACCCAGAAGAGAGCAGTAGGAAGACCCATTCAGATCAGAGAACATCAGCAAGTGCATTTCAGGAGAACTAAAGGTCTGGTTTGCCTTGTACTTATTTATTCCTTGGTCACACCTGTCCCCCGCATGTATTCTCTAGACAAATTAGTTCCTGGAATGCAGCCTTTCATTCAAACTCCTTGACACACATATTTCCTATATATATGTCACTGCCTAACACATAATAGGTGCTGAATAAATGCTTATTGAATTGAATTATTGAATTCATGTTCCCTGGTCACATATGTTTTCTGAGTGTGTCAATTACTACATCTTTACTCTGAGTTTACAACCTCCCCCCACATCTTTTGGAGTATTAAACTCTAGCAGAGTGTATAATAAGTATGTCATGTGTAGGAAGGGTCCCAAGTCTCTATTTGCTGTACCATTGGATTAAATTCTTTTGCATTGAATTAAAGTACATTCTGGCTCATCAAAGTAACCAAATCGGTAAGGGGTCAGAACCAGGATTTTGATTGAACACTTGACGCACAAAAGTGCCTTGGAGGTAGAAAGATTTTTCTGAGGCCCATGTGTTTGTCAGTGCCACAGTAACTACATACTTCACTTAATGTACTTTGAGATCTAATTTGTTTTTCTGGCAACCATATCACATTGCTGACTCATCCTGTAATTTTAGCTGACTAACCCCTTTAAGGTATTTTTTTTTATTAGTCACGTGAACTTCCATCTAACTATATCATCCTAATCTTGATTTGCGTTTTTTTTTCCTAATCTAAGTGCCAGAGGTG